TATGTATATTATATACACATACACCCACATTTTTCCTGGCTTTTCTTCCTCACACTTGCACTAATGACGGAAAACATTTTTCTGACCACTGATGCCAAGATATTTGTTTTTCCAAACAATCTATTCTGACTCTTGATGTCAGGTGATTTTTCCTCCCACTTCCCAACAGCGCCAGGCATTTATCTTCTGCTGAGCAATGATGCTGGGCATCTTTTCTTACACTGACCCATGGTACATGTTTTTCTCCTACTGACATAAACACGAGGCATTTTTCCTCCCAGTGACTAGTGTGGTAATCACATACAAAGCAGAGCAGCTTGCAAATATATATAAACATGGCAACCTGCAGATATGAAACAGGTCGACGTGCACATATTAAGGCTAATGTCCACTAATAATATTGACTTGATGGACTAATGTCTTTATTCAACCTCAAATACTATGTAACTATGTAATAATAAATGCACACATATTCATAAAAAAGTGCATTTTTTTTTCCATTTATGCTTTGGAGCCAATAAAGCATTGCAACTGCAATCAATGGATCGTGGGTGGAATGCGCTGGCTACTGCAGACTCTTCCTCCCATCCCTGTCTGTACCTTGGTGTGGACATTCGGTAACAGGGAACAATTATGAATGGACTACAAGTGTGGTGATGGCAATGTACTTGTATTTCATTGAGAACTACAAGTTGCTCTGCTACGGTGGCTGGTGGGGCGTGTCATTTCTCCATTCACAGATTCTGTCAACGGATCTGTTAATGGATGATGTAGCTGCGTGTGGGGTGAAGACACACAATTCCACGCCGAATTCAAAAAGGAGCAGCAGCCTGCAGGATGGAGACCCAGATATTCTGGTAAGTAGGGGTTGGAAATGTGACCATTTTTCATGCACCCTGAATAAAGTATGTTCAGGGTATAAAAGGTAAACATAGCCATTAAATAAGACTAATTCAATTAATAAGTCTAATTATTATTATATTAATTAATGATTATTAATGAATAAGTATGCAAGCTTTACGGACAAGCTGTGTGTAAACCACAAAGTCAATTCCCTGCTTGTATATCCAGCCCCACATTCTGCAAAGTCATATCAGAGCCCTCTATTTCACTTTCCGTCCCCTAAACAATCTGAATGACCTTGAACTGCCTCTTTGTTTAAAATGTTTGATGATCCCTGGCCTATATCTTTGGATCTACTGGTTAACATGTGTTTTTCATTAATGGTATCTTCTGATTGTATATTTTTCATCATATGCTCAGCTTGCAGTGTCAAGGTTTTTGACACATTAATTCACACGAGCTTTTTCACAGTTGACTTCTATAAAGTGAAAGATTTTTTTAATTACTGCACCAAAATATGTTTTTGTGAATAGTTCTACCCAAGATGCAAGAACCTTCCCAGCAAACATGAATCAACTAACCCACAATACATTAAATTACTGGGCTAAAATCAAACTATACCAAAAATATGGTATTTGTGGCATCACTGAAATTAGTGCAGCATGTTCTTAAAACTGTTCAACAGTTACTCCACCACTAGCGATGATTATATCTTCCTTTGTTTCTAAGGCTGGGCACACACCTTACAACCATCGCAAGACTTTTGTCTTGCGATGGTTGTAAGGTACTTAAAAGAACGTACGATCTGCCTATCTTGCATAGGCAGATCGTACTTGCGATGATCGCAAGCCACGCCCCCCGTACATCGTACGACGTTCGGCGGGCTTCCGATGACCGCAATGCCGAACGGGCAGTGTGCGCTTGCGCACACCGGCCCGTACGGCTGTTATCGTACGGACATGACACAAACCCGCCGAACGTCGTACGATGCTCAGCGGGTTTTTGAACATGTCTGTAAGTTCAAAGTCGTGCGACTTTACAGTAGTAGAGGTCGCACGGCTTCCACACACCTTACGATAATCGTACGATCGCGGGATTTCCCGCGATTATCGTACGATTATCGTAAGGTGTGTGGGGACCTTAAGGCCATACTCGCCCAGGCTCCAGCTTGTATAGGAGCAGTTTGCACATCAAGCGATCACAAAGCACTTGAAGAGCTTTTGGCAAACTTCGTGCTGACTGTCCCTTTAAAGAAACTGCTAGTGGGCTTCAGTAAGCTTTATTACTAGTTGAAGCTTGTTAAAAGCCTGCTAGCAGCTTGTTTAAAGTGACAGCACTCCCATTTCCAAGCAGGTACTGAAGAGTCCTTTAAAGCAGAACTCCAGGTAGAATTGTTATCAACCTGTGCAGTGGAGCTGCCCCCACAATGCAAGGGTGACTGATAGTTTTTGACTAGGTTAAAAAAAAGTTATACTAACCCAGACCTCCAAGCTGGTTTTCTCTTAGACTGATCCCTGAAGCCTGTCTCCACCTCCGCTGCAATGTTCTAAAGTCCTGTAAATCATCACATTCTATACACAGTTTATAGATGCTGGGGAACATTGCAATACTGCAGCGTAGGAAGAGAAAGGCTTCAGAGAAGCAGGCAGCTTGCTCTGAGGATCGGGTGAGATAAAACTTTTTTTTTGTAGCACCTACACAGAAATGAGCACTTAACCCTTGCAGTGGGGCTACCCCATAGGGTTAAGAACACTTTTGCCTGGAGTTCTTCTTCAAAGGCTTCAGCAAAGCTGCTCAGAGCTTGCAGAAAGCTTCATATATGCCTCGCAAGAGCTTGCTGTACACACTGCTTGTATACAAGCTGAAGCCGGAGTGAGCAAGAATCCTCATTAGAAATTGAGGACAAAGCAAATTTCAGACGATTCTTGATGAACCAACTGAAATTAGCTCCATGGGTGGCCTTGTCTTTACTGTCTCCCATCTGACATCCTTCAATTGAAAAACTGGAAAGGATCCAGGTGGAAAATTGTCCAATCAGATACAGACACTGTTCAGCTATTTTGACAGCCGTCTGGGCCGACTGTCAAAAATACAATAGCTGCAGCAGATCGATTTATCCATCCACTCTGTTTATCGTGGATAGAGAAATCTGTTTTCAGCCCGAAAGGTGAATGAAAAGAAATTGGGACAGTATAAATCCAGCCTAAAGCCAACTAAAGATCAGATTTACATTGCTTAAACAATTCATGATTGTAATTGTTCATGGGCACTAAAGTGCAGGAGTCTCATAAAGAAAAGACAAATCTTACTGTATCAGTATCAGTGCCAATACTGGGCACTTTCAAGTACTTGTACTAGTGAAAATGTTCCTATACTAAACATGATAGCAGCAATTTAAATTTTAAAAACAGAAGCAGCTGTCTTAGGTCCCGTGCTTGCTGGGGACCTCGGTAGCCTTATTGGGAACCACACGGCCCCTTCTTACAGCGCTTTCAATGCCCACACATGTCCACCTCCTGAGACCATCCGCACCCCTCCTGAGATCCACTGCAGCCCTCCTGAGACCCTCCTCTCTGCTCCTGAGACCCGCCTCAGCCCTCCGCCTGAGACATGAGGCCGGCACCCCACACCAGCATAGAGTATGTAGCAACATATTATTCTGCATTGCTCTATAATGTATTCCTGGGATTCTGCATCGCTATATAATGTGTTTCTGAAATTTGTAGCCGTCTACAGCTGATGGTATTCTGCATTGCTGTATAATGTGTTGCTGAGATTTGTAGTCCTCTATAGCTGGTGGTATTCTGCATTGCTGTATAATGTATTGCTGGGATTTGTAGTCCCTCTACAGCTTGGAGTCAGTGACAGAACTACCAGGGACTGGGCCCTGGCGCTCCACCACTGTCCTAAAATCATTAGTCTGTATTGTTTTAGAAAAACTGTCACATGACACTAAAAAAAGGTATCTGTAATTGGTATGGTACTTGAGGAAATGTATTGGAAATTGTACTCAGTCTGGAAAAAATTGTATCGGCGCATCCCTACGTTTTAGCAATGAATAAGACAAGTAACAATACAATACTAGACAAGTAAGACTGTCCTGCTAGGAGTCACTAGGTGAAGTTCCTACGGATGCCCACTAGGGGCGCTGTAAGTACTTTGTATAGACATTGCTACACACAGAGAGATTGATTGACAGACATTTGTCTTTTTTAAGTGTGATATATACTAGCTTATAAGTTTATTATGTGTACAAGTACAAGACAGTGTGATCAACCCAACATGCCAATACCAGGCATGTCTGCTGCCTACTGACTGAGTCTTGCTATAGCACTGAGCTTCATGTGTATACCTGTAGCTTGCAGGTAATAAAGGTTTACAGCAGCCTAGAAGGGAATGGTTGTGTTTGTGTTGTCCTGTCCAGTGTAGAGGTGTTATTCCCCTTGTGATCGGAGGCAGTATTATGAAGGAGGAGGAGGATGAGCCGAGGGAGTAGTTGTACAGGGAAAGGGGAGGCTCAGTACACAGCAGCTCCTCCTGCAATCTCAGCCAGAGGTGAGCTGTATTTGCACTGGCTCACAACACGCAGCCCAAGGAGCTGTCACTGGACAAAAGTCAGACGATCGCACACAACGCTGTGACTTCCAGCCTTGAATCTCTTCTTGTATTAATCCAGCACGATCTGCCCTGATCGTACAAGTGTGTAGGCAGAGACCAGACCGCCGGGATCTGTGCATTCACATTCAACAAGTGAGCAAGAAGAGTGTCCGGAGTGATCGGATCCTGTACTGACCTTCTCAGGGAAAGTGGATCGACATCTCCGACTGAATGGGACAGAAGAAAGTGGACGTGACCTGAGGAACCAGGAGAGGGCTGTGTGTGCGCGAGCACTTGGCTGCTGGGACATTTAAATCTCTCCTGACTTCCATGGCTGGGATGTACCTGCTATGCTCAGCAAGCTCTGAGGACTTTGTGTGAACTCCCTACCGAGCACCTCACTTTCCCCATGGAGGATCTGTCTTAGTTTGATCCGATCTGTGTGTGTGATCGTGTCGGTGCACTTCCCCCGATTTGTCCCCAGAACTTGGTGCCGTTCCATGTGAGCCCCGGTACAGGAGGTGGAGGGGGGAGTGTCAGCCGATCAAGCTACTGCAGCAGGCAGATCATACAACACACAGCTCACCCTAACCGAGCCTGATCATGGCCAAATGGTTGAATAAATATTTCAGCCTGGGCAACAATAATAACAATAAGACCAAGAGCCCCCCGCAGCCCCCCAGGCCGGATTACAAAAGGAACGGCGGCACCGATCGCTCGTTCCACCTGCAAAAAGAGCAGCAGCTACAGTCCTTCCCCCAGTTTCACCATCACACGTCGCCGCTGCCCGGTCACTGCAGGGAGGAGAGCGATCTCATCAGAGCCTACCGGGCCCAGAAGGAGAGGGACTTCGAGGATCCGTACAACGGGCCCGGCTCTTCCCTCCGCAAGCTGAGGGCGATGTGCAGCGAGGAGCAGCAGCAGCAGATAGAGGGCAGGAGGGGCAGTGCCAGGGCTCCCGGGGGCAGCAGCAGCAACAGCCTCTTCCAGGAGCCTTGCCCCGGCTCTAGCACCAACACCACCTCCTCGTCATCATCGTCCTCCTCCTCCCCGCACCTGTACCGCAGCAACAGCGAGAGGAGGCCGGCCAGGGCCAGGCACCAGCAGCCGCCAGTCGGGGCAGAGCTCAAGTACATCGTGTCCCCCAAGCACCGGCTCATCAAGATTGACAGCTGCGGCTGGACTGACAGCGGCACCGGAGCCGGCCTTTCGGGGTCAGCAGGCATCACTTGGAGCCCGGCGGTGACCACAGCAATGAGCAAGAGCGAGGAGCAGAATAAGGACAAGGACAAGGTAAGCCCTGGATCATCATACACTATTCCTCATTTACAAAGACTGGACCTCTTTGGGAAAGAAGGGTCAAATATCCTCCTATGTGTATATAGGCAATGAGCAAAATGTTTCTATTGGTCTCATCCTTTCATCTTAGTACTTATTGTATTTAAAACACCAGTTTAAAGGAAAAGTAAGGGTGAGAATAAGCAGAATTTGGTTTAACTGGACATGATCTGTAAGATCTGGTGTGTCCAAAGGGATACCAATATTTTTTGCTTAAAGTGACACTAAACTCAGCGGTTAAATCTTAAAAATACATTGTTACCCTAACTAGTAAAAAAAAAAAATGTATCTTATTTGTGTATCACTCAGCTGTAGATCCTCAACTCATCTCTGAATTGGTGCTGGTACTGTTCTTCTGGAGGGTGGCTAATTTTGTTCCCCATGGCCCCTGTGTGTGTTGTAAAGTAGCTCCCGCTCCAAGCTCACTCCCATGACGGACTACAAGCTCATGTTTAATTTACTCATTTTTATTGAGATTGTAGTCCATCATGAGAGGGAGCTTGGAGCGGTGACTACTTTACAACACACACAGGGACCATGGGTAACAAAAGTAGTCACCCTCCAGAAGGAAGGACAGTGTCAGCACCAATTCAGAGATGATTTGAGGTTCTACAGCCGAGTGATACACAAATAAGATAAATTTTTTTCTAATAGGGTACTTGAATGTATTTTTAAGATTTGACTCCTGAGTTTAGTGTCACTTTAAGGATCACCATACACCACCACTAGACAAATCCCATGAGCCAGGTAGCCAGTGATCCTTAAAAAAAAAATGACAGCTGGCGCCTAACTTTTTAGGTTTTCTCTAGTTTTTTGTTTTATGGATCTACAGATGAGTGATACACTATCAAGCTTCCTTTTTAATTAATAATTAAGCATTTTTAAAAATTAATTGCTGAGTTTAGTGTCACTTTAAAGGTGTTCCTCTTTTTCATCCTTAAAAATTGGGAGGTATGATACCCTGAAAGGGTCTACATCAGCCATTCTCAACCAGGGTTGCTCCAGAGGTTCCTAAGGGTTTCTTCACCTCCCATCTGATGATAGCTGCATAGTGCTGGGTCAGTGTCTCTTGGTGGGACCAACTGCATGGTATCAATGGAGACTCTCCTCTTGTCTCTCAGATAAGTTTCCCACTAACAGCTGGCCATGCACTGTTAGAATTGAATTAGAACGTTCATTCGAAGTTGTTCCTCAGAGCATTCGATCTTGCCATCATTGAGTCAACTAGTTTAGTACGAAAGCCCTTAAAAATTACGTCCAGACCTTCTATTAGTAGTAGTATTAGTATATCTGATTCTTGCTGAATAATGCTAATGTACCAAGAGCTGTAGCTATACTCATTTTCAGCAGGAGGTCCCTGGGACCTGAGCATTATTTCACAGGTTCCTTTTGGGTAAAAAGGTTTAGAAAGGCTGGTCTATACTTTTTCTCTGGGAACAATCCATGGATTGCCATCATCCATTCCTGTGGCTGCCTGTAGCTGTCACACGTGTGACTGATAACCCGATTAAATCACCTCCGGTGGCCCTGCACATTTCTCTTTGTAATGATCCTATTGCTTTACCTGCCTGGGGGTGTCTTCTTTCACCTTATGTGATCTGCCATTTCATCCCCTGATTCCATCAGTCTGTCTGTTGGGATCTGCTATTCCAGGATTGCTGAGGCTGTCATGTGTAAATGTGTGGCTCCAGACAATTCATACAGTGTTGCAGGCTATTCTCTGTAAAATCCCATGTTTATTGTATTGGGTTTCCACTAGGAGCTGAGCAGTGTTGTGTAATAGTTTGCACGGGAGGAAATGGTACGTGATTGTGACCTTAGCTGCTGGCACTGCTTCTGACACTGTGCTGGATATCCTGGTTTTCCCAGTGCAGAATTGGTTAAAGGTCCCTTTTATCTAACTGTCCAACTGTGCAGTGAACCATGACCTTGTCTTCAGAGTACAAACAGGTGGTTTTGGCTTCTGTACATCTGTTGCTTGCTATTTTAGTTCACAACTTTGTAGTTTTCGTTTTTCTCATGATTGGGGATACCATAGAGTCATTTCACAAACTGGCCTTTAGTCTTTTGTTATTTGCAATGATCATAAAGCTCACAACACAGTTTACAATTTGACTGTAGATCTACCAACAGCTTTGTAGTGCAAGGACCTGCTTGATTGGATACATTAGGAGGTCCTGATAATACATAGTTTTGGTAAGTCTAAAGTTAATTGTACAAAGATAATATTATCAGATTGAAATGTGTAAGGGCCCATTCACACCACATCCAGATCATCTCCAGACCAGATTGTTTCCGGACCCAAAATACATCCTAATGTATCCACCGAAGCAATCCGTTCCAGACCAGAAAAATACTCCATGTCTTATTTTGACTGGTCTGGAATGCACTGGAACGCACTTAAAAGCCCATTTTAAACTAAAAAAAAAGCACAAAGAAACCCCAGCTCTGGAAAAATTAGAGAGAACCTCATGAGTTAGGCACCAGCTGTAATTTGTAAGCATCACTGGCTACCTGGCTCCTGGGATTTGTCTAGCTGTGGTGTATGGTGACCCTTAAAAAAACACTAAACTCAGGAGTTAAAGGAGAACTATGAGGTGAGTGAAAATCACTCAGCCTCATAGTTCTAGCCGACCTGTGACAATAAAACTGTCACAGGTCGGCTCAATAGATCGGGAAGTGAGCGAACACATACCGTTGCTCGTTCACTTCTCGATCTATCCCTGCAGAGAGCCGTGACTGTCACTCACGGCTCCCTGCAGTGTTTCCCCCCTCCCCTATCCGATCCTCCAGCGCTGACTGGCGGAACGGACGGGGGAGGGGGCGGGTACAGCTGGCTCTGCTTCTAGATAGGCAGAGCCAGCTGTTACTCACGCAGCTGGGTGGATCCAGACAGAATTGTCTGGATCCGTCCCGGCTGCGGCGTCTCAGTGTACCGCGAGCTGTAGCTCGCGGTATACTGAGCTTTGGGTGGCGGGAGGACGCTAGTTTGTGTCCTGCCGTTACCCTTAGGAGAACTATGGGGAAAAGCCCAGACCCCATAGTTCTCCTCTTAAATCTTAAAAATTCATTCAAGTACCCTAACTGCTAACAAAAATGTATCTTATTTGTGCGTATTGGCTGTAGATCCTCAAATCATCTCTGAATTGGTGCTGACACTGTCCTTCCTTCTGGTGGGTGACTACTTTTGTTCCCCATGGTCCCTGTGTGCGTTGTCAAGTAGTCACTGCTCCAGGTTCCCTCTCGTAATGGACTACAATCTCGCGTTTAGTTTACTAATTTGTATTGAGATTGTAGTCCATCACGGGAGTGACTTGGAATGGTGGCTACTTTGCAACACACACAGGGACCATGGGGAACAAACATGGACACCCTCCAGAAGGACAGTGTCAGCACCAATTCAGAGATGATATGAGGATCTCATGTTTAGTTTACTAATTTGTATTGAGATTGTAGTCCATCACAGGAGTGAGCTTCCCAGATAGCAAGAAATTGAGCTGCAAGTTTGAAAATGACTTGCTAAACTATTGCTAGACTTGCCAAGCTTCACAATTTTGTTACACTATTACAACAAGTCTGCATTGCAAGTCTCCAGATCAACGTGATTTGCAAAAGTCCTGTACACTTGCAGAGCTCTTGCTAAGACCTGCAGGACTCTTGCTGTAGACTTGCCAAGCAAATTTGCTACAAATTCAAAAAGTGTCAACTAAAACTTGTGCTGCAAGTGTTCTGCGAGTCTACAACTTGCCAGGAATGTGTGCAGCAAGTTAACAAGAATTACAATTTAACCCTGGCACACGTTTGTGGCAAGTTATCCTTGCTATCTGGGTTGGAGTGGTGGCTACTCTTCAACGCACTAAGAGACCAATGGGAACCAAAGTAACCCTTGCTCCAAGCTTGCTCCTTTGATGGACTACAATCTCAATAGAAATGAGTAAACTAAACATGAGATTGTAGTCCATCAAGGGAGTGAGCTTGGAGCGGTGACTACTTTACAACACACACATGGACCATGTAGCCACCCTCCAGAAGGAAGGACAGTGTCAGCAGCCAATTCAGAGATGATTTGAGGATCTACAGATGAGTGATGCTCAAATAAGATACATTTTTGTTAATAGTTAAGGTACTTTGATTTTTGTCTTAGGTTTAAAGAAGTAGCACTAGAAGATAAGGAAGCTTGTTAAACCCCCCAGGTGATCCAGTCTGTAATTATAACAAGCTAAAAACTACATATCAGTCTTCATTAAGACCATTCACTTCATTTAGATATCTACATGTGTGTATCGAGAATCAAGTGTACGAAGAGAGGATATCCATGTTAAACCAGATAGCAACTGTCATTTCTCTATCCAAAGAAAATGAAAGGCAGAATAGGAAAGGTTGCTCTGACCAACTCATTCTCTTTACAGAGGGCAAATAGAGATTTGATGTTTTGTTGGATGTGAAGGCTAATGATATCAGATAAATTCCTAATAGTGTAAGAAGGGAATACGGACAACTGTAAAATGACAATAGGATACCGTAAATTTGGAACAGAAAGACTGCCATGATCAAAACTCAGCGACATTGGGCCATGTCCATAGTTCATACTACAATAAATCTTCCCCGAGGTATAGAAGAAAACAAACAATGCAATAAAAAGGGACTAATAGCTTTTCGAGTTGCCCTTAATTCCCCTGGCTCTCTGCAGCGACTCTATTGCCACATGTCACTTCTGACAAATTGCTGAAACCTTTATTAATGGATCAGCCCATCGGTTGCTAATATTTTACCGTCGCACAAGAACGACATACCGTCAGGCTTAAAAGCCATTCTTTATGTTACAACTTGATTTCAGCAGACCTTCCATTCTTTCCAAAGGTTAATAGGGGTGAAATGCTATGTGCACCATTTGTTGCTGTAATAACCATCAGGCACATAATGTTGCAGCTACACCAAACTAGCGGTAGCACACT